TTTTTTTTTTTTGTCTCCAAAGTTTACCAATTTTCGGATTTTGGTATGTTTAATCATATATTTAGTTATTAATAAAAAAAAAATATTTGTATAAATTTTTTTTCCATGAACCATACATTTTTTTGGTTTGTCGCATATATCTTTATCAAAGTGCAAAAGTTGATCTTGCTAGGAATAAAAATGTATTTTTAACAAATTTTTAACTGCGACCACTTTTATGTGCGAATCGCCGAAATGAAATGGTATGTAGAAAATAGGTGTACTTTGAGGGGGTGTGAGAGGCTGAATGTTGTTTTTATCACAAAATAACTTATGAACTTCTCTTAGTTGGAGATTTAGCTGTAACTTGACATCAAAACATCTAAGGTTCAAGACAGTCGATTTTTGTATTTTTGTCCACCTTCGCGGCACTGTGTGGCGCCAAGAACGTGTTGGCAGACTAGTTGTGAGGAATGTGCATACGTCCTTATGTATGTATGTATGTACATATCAATGCTTCATTTCAAACAAAAAAATGTCGTTGAATTGTTTTTGAAATACAGTATCATGACTTCGGCAACCCATCAAACATGCCTTCAGCAACAAACGAAATGGCTTTCAGCAACAAGTCAAACGACTTCTGCAACAAACGAACTGCTGCGTCTTGCCTTCGCCAACCGTCCCAATGAGCTCTCATGCTTTCGGCAACCGTCCAAATGCAGTATCGTGCTTTCGGCAGTCGATCAAATACGGCGGTTGCTGGTTTCGTGCACGATCATTCGGAGTACAGGTTTGCCGAAGTCAATATCAGTATGAGCTGTTATAAGCATCGTTCACTTGTGCTGGCTGTATTTGTAAGACAGCACGCTTTGCGCTGGTGTTCGTTCATACCCCGTTTTTAACGTGAGTAGCCTTAAAGTCACAAAAACAGCACCCTTTGCCAATCCCTGGTTCAAACATCTTTGAACATGTATGCATACATACATACATATGCCAGAGTTATAAAACTGAACGTAAAAAAATTACGTACAATAATACTTATTGACACAGAAAATACAGTCCACTTTAGAATAGAAGATAAGTAAAATACATAAACATGAGAAATGAACAAAAACCCATGAATTGTTACACATTTAACTGTCAATATTTTGTACACAACCGAAATAAGATATCAATACGTTGATCTCTTTTAATCTAATGTTCGCGCATACAAATTCATACACCCATACATGCATTAGAAATGCATTGATATTATTTCCATGTATACATATAGCCGACGCAAATGCAAGCATTAAAATTAAAATTATGATAAGACCAAAGCGGTTGTTTGTAAATAGTACATACCAAAACACCATGTACATACACACACACACATACATATGTATTTACAATTAGTTAAGGAAAATAGAATTAGAATTTGTATATAAAAGGAAAATATTTAATAAACAGATCAGAATCGAAAAGACTCTCAAATAACACTCTTCTTCTTCTTCTGTATTTTATTTTGTATGCTTTACTTCCCCTCACCAGCGGTCAAGGGTAAAGCATTTAACACTCTTTATTCTTCTTTCTTTAATAATACGGGGTAAAACTTTTAATATTGAAAGTACTAACCTCTTATTTTATTAGACCCTACTTCCCCCCACCAGTGGTAAGGGATAGAGAATTTTAGAATAAGAGTATTTGTAGTTCAAGCCTTGCAGGGAATTACTTGTTACCCCCCACCCGAGGTAAGGAACAAGTGACAGCTCTGCAACGAACAATAATAATTTGGCGCTTACACTTTCGTAAGTGTTTGGCCGAGCTTCTCCTTCGTATGATGTGCGTCTTTATGTTGTTACACAAATGGATGGACCTACAGTTTCACGCCATACATTGGCGTGTTTGAACAATTTAGCCGGACAAAACTCATTGTAAAATTTTAAGATAATTCAATATGGTTTAAGTCAACAGATGTCCGCTGACCTAAAAAATGCGGTAATTTTATTTGTAACTTTCATGTTGACATTTTCCTTACGTGCAGATGTTGGAAAATTAAAATTATATATTTGAAACGGAAGTCATGTTAACTTTTATGAGTTATTGACAAAAGTGCATACTTTTGAAATATTTTTACTTTGTTGAAGTATACATTTGATAAAGGAGAAAACAAAGTTGTCATATCCTTCGGTAGCACTGCATCAACGTATGCATAAAGGGATAGGTTTTTATTTGGCAATGAATATTATAACCTATACTTAAAATGGACAATTTAAAAGCTGACACCATGTGACACCGCTCTGTATTTTTTATATTTTTTACCTCAGGTATCTCATTTTACATATCCTAAGAGCCTAGACTTCGCACGAGTTCGCATCAATCCGTTTTAAGTAATGAAAGGTCATAGTACTAATCAAGTTCGTTGTTTAAGTCTTTGTTGAAATTGCACGTAATGATGCTTTTACATATGGACAACTCGATGTGCAAAGAAAATAATAGCACAGTTAGTTACAATAGAGTACATAAATGAATATAAACACTAGGACGGGTTGATTTTTTTTTTTAAATCGTATAAAACGTAAACTACATAAAATTCTAAGAAACTTCTCCGAAGAAACCATGTATCTAAAATAAAATCCTAATCCGCGACTCTCGACTTGAAAATTTATATGGCCGCCATTGCCAAAAAAATAAATGTTAGAAAAAATAGGTTTTTCCAAAAAGAAATCAAATTTTCTGAATAAAATTAAACTGAACTGTAAAATGTAAGAAGAAAATAATTTAATTATAAAC